TCATCAAGAACGTCCGCGGAAGTAACTTTATTTATAGCGCATGCGTATTAAACACAGTAAAAGAGTTCCTTTCAGGGGAAATAACTCACCTTTTGAAAATGGGGAATATAAACCATTGAATGTAGGTCAGAAACAAAGAACTGTAATTTCTAATACATTTTTATCAGGACTATAATTCACACTTAACTAAATCTAGAAATATTTCATCTTTTTGTTTAAAAAATAAAATCGGTGGGAAAAACACTTTTGATAGTAGTTTTCTGGCAAAATATATAGACGTTTTTGTGAAATTTTGTGATGCAAGAGTTATCTCTCGTGACATCGGTAAATCTGCTAAACACCTTTTTATCTAGTCTCGTTTTCCCCAGACTCTCGCTCTCGAGACTTTGCCCGAGCGAGAAAAATCTCGAGAGCGAGGGTCGGGGGAAAACGAGACTACTTTTTATCGGAATCCTAGTGAGATATTTAGAATCGATACACTAAAGAAAATTATTAAACAAAAAATAACTTTAATTTAAAAAAAATCTTTGCCTTTTTAGCTCACCTGACTTGAGCTTTTCTGATCAAAATTTGTCCGTTGTCTGTCGTCGTCGGCGTCGTTGTTGTTGTCGTCGTCGGCGTAAACTTTTCACATTTTCATCTTTTTCTCAAGAACCACTGGACCAATTTCAACCAAACTTGCCACAAAGTATTCTTAGGTTAAGGGGATTCAAGTTTGTTCAAATGAGGGACCAAGCCCTTTTCCAAGGGGAGATAATTGTGAATAAGTGAAAAATTAATGGCATTTTTCAAAAATCTTCTCAAGAACTACTGGGCCAGGAAAGATAAAACTCATGTGGAAGCATCCTCATGTAGTGTAGATTCAAGTTTGTTCAAATCATGACCCCCGGGGATAGGGTGTGGCCACAATGGCCGATCAAAGTTTTACATATAAAAAATCTCCTTCTCAGGAACCACTGGGCCAGGAAAGATGAAACTCATTTGGAAGCATCCTCATGTAGTGTAGATTCAAATTTGTTCAAATCATGACCCCTGGGGGTAGGGTGGGGCCACAGTGGCCGATCAAATTTTTACATAGGAATATAGGGAAAATCTTTAAAAATCTTCTCAAGAACCACTGGGCCAGGAAAGATGAAACTTATGTGAAATCATTCTCAGGTAGTGTATATTCAAGTTTGTTCAAATCATGACCCTTGGGGGTTGGAAGGGGGTGTCAACATGGCTGATCAAAGTTCTACATTGGACTAGATAGGGAAATCTTTTAAAATCGTCTTCTCAAGTACTTCAAAGCCATGATTAGTGATATTTATGTGGAATCATCCTAGTGTAGATTCTAGTTTGTTCAAATCATAAACCCCAGGGAGAGGGTGGGCCACAATGGGGTATCGAAGTTTTACATTAAAATATATATATAACAATCTTCTCAAGAATAGCAGTCATGATTAGTAATACAAGTATTTATATGAAGCATTTTTGGGTAGTGTAGAATTAAATTTGTTCAAATCATAACTCCTAAGGATAGGGTGGGGCAATGTCATATGCTGTATTAATATGAAGGCATAAGGGTTGGGGCAATGTCATAGGTATTAATATGAAGGCAATCTCAAGAAGTATTAAAATTCAAGCCCCCTCCCTTCAGTGAACGTTTCAGTTCTGATCTGATTTGTGCTTCTTCCTAGCCGATTTGTTCAGGTGAGCGATGTGGCCCCTGGGCCTCTTGTCATAATTTTGTTTTGTTTTAAATGGATCTTAAGAAATGTTCACAATCACAACAAATATTTTATTAAAAAATCGTCTGCAAATAGGATCCCTCAGATGGTTGAAATGTTGACGTGCATGTTGAATTTGCTACACTACACCCAATTTCACTTGATTATCAGGTGTAAATCGTCTACACCACGTGTAGTAAGGTGTAGACAAATTAAGCGCGCCCTTAATAATAAAGCGTCAAAATGACGAGTAATAACAATTGTAAAAGAAAAAAAATGGGATATGAACTTGATTGTGATAACAAGTACCATACCCAATCCATGATTATTAATTTTTTTTAATAAACCTTTATATTATATAACTTTGTGAAATTTGGTAATCTGATGGGTCAATGATGGGTCAATACGAAGTATTATTTTTTAATAACGACCGCTGAAAGCGAATAATGACTCGCACGAGCTGCCTCGTTTTCACTTTCGCTTTAGCAAGTTGTAGGTGAGAAAAATTTAAATGATATAATGAAGAACTCTGAGACTAAGAATACAAAACAATTACAAGCATATCTGTGAACATTTTTGGGAATACTTAGCACATAGCATTTCATGGTTGAATTCGACTTTTGACGCTGTTTCCGCGATTACGGAGACTAAAGAAAATAAAGACGAGCGTGCCATGTATGATTATTTCTTTCCGAAGAAGTCATATAGAGCACAACATCTGATCCAAAATATGCAAGTACGTAATGAAGTTCTGTTTCTGAAGATCAAAAAACATTGGATCGTCGTGGGCTGTGCTCATATTATAATTCTGTGCTTAAGGTAGTCAAAAACACGTTTTCTGCAAATTTCAAGAACATTGCAATTTTTCAAACCTGTTTTTCAATATCTGGATCTGTTTGTGTTCGTCGTCGTGTGTCATCTTTTACTTTGCAACCCAGTGCAAGAGAAAATTCCCAAAACGTTATTTTATTAGAAAATGAAAGCAGCTTTATTTTGATGTAAGAAATGAGAAGGAGGAGGATATTTAATTAATTGATACAACTACAGCGCCATTTTATGCATAAGATGGCTCTTGTCCTTTGTTAAGTAGAAGAGTTTTTTGTCCAATTTTGCCACGTAAGACATGCTATAATTGTTTGAATTTTACTTTGCATTAATTATTTCAATTTCCAGTATTATAAGAGTGATATTTTTATAATGTAAAGAAAATGTTAATGCCCCACTAAGCAGTATTTGTAAAATTTGTATAAAAAAATTGTGGTTTGATAATCTAATCTTGGTGAGCATTCTCTTATATCTATCATCAATAGGTTTTGTTAAATTTTTACAGCCATGTTTGGTTTACAAAACCTTTTGGATGTAAATAATGGACCAGTGTATTCCAGTGATGCTAGAAAAATTAATTTGTTGCAGATTAGCTAGGTTATTACGGCGGAAATGTCATCTCATTTTAGTGGGTCATATCTAAGAGAACTACCGTTGTCATCTTTTACTTTGCTACACAGGCAAAGTAACAGATGTTTGGTTTACAAAACCAACAAGTGGCTAGAAAAATTAATTTGTTTTAGCTAGGTTATTACGGCGGAAATGTCATCTCGAGAAAACTACCGTTGACCAAGGCAAAGTCGATGTCAACAACATTTTTACGTTATCCTCGCTAACCTACAACATTTTAGTGGGTCATATGAGTTACAAGGACCTTTTGCTATCTGTTTGTGTTCGTCGTCGTGCGTCATCTTTTACTTTGCTACACAGCTTCAATTCTGCAAGAGTTGAAAATCATAACAGCCATGTTTGGTTTACAAAACCTTTTGGGTGTTAATAATGGACCTGTGCAGTCCAGTGATGCTAGAAAAATTAATTTGTTGCAGATTAGCTAGGTTATTACGGCGGAAATGTCATCTCGAGAAAACTACCGTTGACCAAGGCAAAGTCGATGTCAACAAGGCATTTCGAGGGATGACATTTTTACGTTATCCTCGCTAACCTACAACATTTTAGTGGGTCATATGAGTTACAAGGACCTTTTGCTATCTGTTTGTGTTCGTCGTCGTGCGTCATCTTTTACTTTGCTACACAGCTTCAATTCTGCAAGAGTTGAAAATCATAACAGCCATGTTTGGTTTACAAAACCTTTTGGGTGTTAATAATGGACCTGTGCAGTCCAGTGATGCTAGAAAAATTAATTTGTTGCAGATTAGCTAGGTTATTACGGCGGAAATGTCATCTCGAGAAAACTACCGTTGACCAAGGCAAAGTCGATGTCAACAAGGCATTTCGAGGGATGACATTTTTACGTTATCCTCGCTAACCTACAACATTTTAGTGGGTCATATGAGTTACAAGGACCTTTTGCTATCTGTTTGTGTTCGTCGTCGTGCGTCATCTTTTACTTTGCTACACAGCTTCAATTCTGCAAGAGTTGAAAATCATAACAGCCATGTTTGGTTTACAAAACCTTTTGGGTGTTAATAATGGACCTGTGCAGTCCAGTGATGCTAGAAAAATTAATTTGTTGCAGATTAGCTAGGTTATTACGGCGGAAATGTCATCTCGAGAAAACTACCGTTGACCAAGGCAAAGTCGATGTCAACAAGGCATTTCGAGGGATGACATTTTTACGTTATCCTCGCTAACCTACAACATTTTAGTGGGTCATATGAGTTACAAGGACCTTTTGCTATCTGTTTGTGTTCGTCGTCGTGCGTCATCTTTTACTTTGCTACACAGCTTCAATTCTGCAAGAGTTGAAAATCATAACAGCCATGTTTGGTTTACAAAACCTTTTGGGTGTTAATAATGGACCTGTGCAGTCCAGTGATGCTAGAAAAATTAATTTGTTGCAGATTAGCTAGGTTATTACGGCGGAAATGTCATCTCGAGAAAACTACCGTTGACCAAGGCAAAGTCGATGTCAACAAGGCATTTCGAGGGATGACATTTTTACGTTATCCTCGCTAACCTACAACATTTTAGTGGGTCATATGAGTTACAAGGACCTTTTGCTATCTGTTTGTGTTCGTCGTCGCACGTCATCTTTTACTTTGCTTCTCAACTTCAATTCTGCAAAAGTTGAAAATTATCACTGGTACTGAAATATCTGTTATTTATATCTTATGAATTCTTTCGCTATACTTGAAATCTCGGATAATACCCGATTTCGAGAATTCTTTCTTACTTGTTTTCAACGAGTGAGAGTCTATTAAGTATGTAGATCATTTGCCTTTTATTATTTTTTAGTTATGTCCTATTTTTGCTGTTTTAGGCTTCTTTTAATAATCAGCATCATTTCCCTTTGGTGGAGGACCTTAGGAGCACCAATCGATGGGACGATTAGACCAATATCGGATGAAAGATACCGCATCATTTACGGTAATGTTAAAAAAACACAAGACATATTCTGTTACAACTGGATGTTTTTATGCGCCCGGATCGATAGATCCGAGAATATATTGTTTTTGTCCTGTCTGTCTGTTTGTTTGTTTGTTTCATTGTCCGCAGACTTTAACATTCGCCAAGAAAGATAAAGACTTCATATCTGAAATCTCTTAGTGGAAGTATGCATAAACACCCTTTTAATTAAAGTATGAAATCAAGATGTGTTTGTGAAACACTGATGCCCCTGTATGGCAACATAGCAAAGATTAAACTTTTCTTAAATGCAACTTTGATTAATTTGTACCAAAAATAGGGTATTCTCACTGGAAAACAAGTGTTTAATTTGAAAGTAAACCAATGATAAAGTTTTTTCAATAAGTATAAAAATCTATAAGGTCAAGGTCACTTTTATCGTTTTCTAACGTTTTAGCTGGTTTAAAATTACTTAAAAATTGGTCAAATTCCCTTCATTATTACAATGAATACCTTAATTAGATTGAAATCGGCATGTTTTGTGCTCTACCCTACGTCCTGTTGTCCCATTCAGACGACTAAACGCGCCTCTATTTTGGAGGGTTCCAGTATTGGAAATAGAACATATTCAGAATTGCTTTACATTATTCACAGCCCACTTTTGATAATCTCCTTGATTTTCTTTTACCATCGGGTTCGATACCATTCTATAACTATGAATTCAATTAAATTGAGATCGGAAATAAACATAAAGGATTTGCACATTTTGTTGCAAGCGCTCTCGACTACGTTAGTCCAAATTCCTTGAATACGCATGCTCGGCTTCACGGTCGTGCATTCTGGGAAACTGTGAAAACTACTATAGATAGACCATACGACAACAATTTCGTTGTATCACGTTGTAGCTCAATTTTTCCGTGTTTTTTTTTCCTGACGGAAAAGCCTGAGTCATTATATGATTGTTCTAAACAAAGTCAAGGGAGTTTTTTTTACGTCTTAGCACAACCAATGATAGACTCTAATTTCTGATTGGTCAATTCAGCCAACTTTACAAATTACAGAAAAACGAATTTACACGAAAAAGTAACGAATAAATCCATTATTTACATATACTAAAAAAATCTGATGTGTTTGGCTTTTAACCTAACATTTCTTGGCAAAGATGACCAAAAAGGACCACGCTACTTCACATCTTCACATTCGGAACTCTCTGTATCTTTATATAACATACATTTTGAGTTATTTTCTTTATTCCTTTTAACTCCCCTATATTGCAAAGAAATTCTATACTTAAACCAGCTCATACAATGCCTCAATCGGCATCTTCTCAATATTATGTACAGTCTCCTCCTCTGTAGTAAAGGTCATAAATGTTCCGTTGCGCAAAAATTCCAATAGGTCAACACCCCGTATATGTCTATAAAATACAATTCACAAAACAACTATAACTTTAGTTTATCACTTTCCAGCCTCGATAAAAATTAAAGAATTTAGCAGAATAAATCATTTGATCACGGATCCTTCCTGTGTTTAAAAATTGTTACGGCGCTAGTTCACCTATCTTTTTTAAAAGATAAACTTGTTTTAATGATAATCACAACTTCAATAACGTTTTGTAAAATAAATGCTTGTTTGTTTAATTTATGAAAAATTCCGTTAACTTATACCTGCCAACTGAAACCACCACTGTATTCTCTTTTCTGGTATTTAGATGTTGTTTACCGAGATATATTTACATCCACTGAATAATTTCTCCTTTATTTCTTAAGAAAACCCATTGCGTTAATCACTGCATGAACTACAGTAGGCATGTCGCCTGTACAGATTTCTTGAGCAGTGACTGTTCCATCAATGAAATGTATAAAGACGTTCGCATCATTAATACAATAATTAATCTTTTAAATCCTACTTTAAATGATTATTTAAACAGGTATAAATGTAAACAATAAAATGTCCTTCTTTGTTTGTTATTACTGGAATTAACGGTCGCAGCTATTGCAGAAAAAAAATACATAACCCGCGTAATTAGGTATTTTTTCTGCAACAGCTGCTTCCGTTAATTCCAGTAATAACAAACAAAGAAAGCATTTTATTGTTTAAATGAAAATAGACTTTGAATTACATCTATAATAACTATTTTTGTTTATAAATACTCTTTAGTGTATCATGTTTAAATAATTCACAAGTGTTCTGATAGCAAGTTGTTTTAAATTAGCCGATTTTTCGATGCTTTATGGAAATTGGTTAAAGAACTGAGATAACTTACGCCTGCGTCATAAAATTTCATATAATAACATTCTATATTACGAGAAAAATACTACTGAAAATATATTTTTACCGCGTGATACTCAATGTATTCATGTCTATGTTTCATATGACCTATAACGACCCAGATTACCAAATTAATGTGACCAAAGTACCAAAATAATTTATAATGTGTGAAGTAATACATGTATGTTATTTTGTTTTTTTTTTCCATGAAAATAGGAGGGTTGTCCAAAAAGTTCGTGGACTATGAGGTTTTTGTGAAAATAAATGGTTTCATATGCATTTATTGTATATTAAAATATTTCTCATGAAAAACCAGGTCAGAATGATATCATTTTTTCATGAACCTTAATATTTTTGTAATCCTACTTTAAATGATTAAAAAAAATTATTTATGTGTCTTTCCTGATATACTGTTATTACAAATAAAATATACAACATGACTAGTCAAAAATCGGGGTCATTAAAGATCGCAGATTGAGCGCACGGGGTAGTCTGACGTTAAGCTAATTTCTATATATGGTGGCATATTTCTGCCCCCTACATGCAAAATAAATTATATTGACATGTAAGTTACAAATCTTTTAAGGGAATTTAATTTAAGTATGGGTACAATACCGTGCTGACGCCCGTATCTGACTTCATAGATGCATGGTGCAGCATAATTATGAGCTCGAGAAGACGCGATTTACGTATGTTAACATGCGAGATAACTATGTTGACGTGCGAGTTAATTATGTTCAACTGCAGGGTATATTTATGTCGACATGCGATTTAATTATTTAGACATGCAACTTATTTATGTCAACACGTAACATACTTATGTTAACATGTGAGATACTTATGTTAACATGCCAGATACTTATGTTTACATGCGAGATATTATGTAGACATGCAGGATATTTATGTTCACATGCAACTTAATCTTATGTCAACATGCAAGATAATAACTTGCATATCAACATACATATATATCTTGCATGTCAACATTATTATCTTGCATGTTGACATAAATAAGTTGCATGTTGACATCATTTTCTTGCAAGTTAACATAAATAAGTCGCATGTTGACATAATTATCTTGCATGTTGACATTAAATAAGTCGCATGTCTACATAATTACATTGCATATTGCATCTAATTGTCAGATACAGGCGTTAGTAAGTAAATTTACCCATATTTTGATCATATTTTTATAAAATTAGTAACTTGCATGTAAACATAATTAACTAACACGTTGACATAAATATGTTGCATGTCTACATAATCATGTTGCATGTTAACATAATTTATCTTGCATGTAGGGGGCAGAAATATGGCACCACATTTCATTATAACGTCAAACATTTAGATTTTGACTTGTTCACGTGTTCTTGGACCCACACTACATTTCTTTTTAAGGCGCAACGCACTTCCAAAAGCTTGCATCAATCTTTAAGTAATTATAATTTATTTAATTTTAAAAATTCAAAACAATGCACAAAAATTTACGCGCGTCATCTAAATATACATTTTATATACATAAACTACACAGCCCAGTCCGGCGAACTTTTTGGACAACCCTCGTACTAGTAGACTCAGTATCTCCATTTAACCGTTAACATGAAGATTTTATTATTTTTTCAGATATCATCTCAGGAACAAGGACTGTCAACGAAAGAAAGGCAACACTAGAAGAAAAAAATGCGGCAAGGATGATTCGTCGCTGGAGAAAGAATCATCCTTTGTCTGTTGCCAATTGCCTGAACCCATTGACCGGAGCTCAAGAAAAACGTGTTTTGGTTGATGGTAAAATGGTTTTAAGGTTAAGTGAAATTAGTTCCGCGACAAAACAGGCATTCGAGGAAAGTAAGGGCGCTGGTTCACGAAAAATTCGACATCGCTTAAAATCTGTATTCAGCGGCGTAACACATCGGAAGGTTCAAACCTCTCTTAAATCTCTTCCCGAAAAGCAGTCCGTCAATCCAATTTTCGATAACGTTGCTCCTCTTAAACCGATTCGTGCAACTTCGATACAAGAACGCCACCAAATTGACTTAGTTGATATGTCGCGACACACGGAATTTTATAACGGTGTAGAGTACAAGTATATTTTGTCGGTTCTAGACGTTTTCAGTCGTTACGTATGGCTTCGCCCGCTCAACTCGAAAGAAAGCACGGAAATCGCAGACGCGCTGGAGTCCATTTATGAAAGCGAAGGACCGCCGAAAATCATACAATGTGATAATGGTCGCGAATTCCATGGTTCGGTAACCCGGTTGACCGAGGTATTGGGTTGTCAAATTATCAAAAGCCGACCGTATTACCCGCAAAGTCAAGGTAAAATTGAATCGTCTCATAAATCCTGGAAATCAAAGCTTAAGTACGACCTACTAAAAACAAGCGATTCGAACTGGGTTCGAGATTTATCAAAATACGCGATGTTGCGCAATGAGGAGTATCACTCCTCTTTAAAGGCTTCTCCATTTTACGTATATCACGGACGGGAATCTAATCGTGTGCGTAAGTCTACTCGTCTTGGACCAACCGTTTCAAATAATGTTTCGAAAGAGTTGAAAAAGCAGTCCGCCATTCGCAAGGCAGCCCTACTGGCATCGAAAAAACGCGAAAAAACCATGATAAAGCACCATTTCAAAAAACATCAAGTTAGTGTCTATAGTGTGGGCGACGAAGTGTTCGTAAAATCCCAAACTCGGAAAAATTACAATAAAGCTAGGCCGCGGTTCGAAAGGGGAAAAATAATCGGCACAAAACACAACGCGTTCTCTTACAAAATCAGGTTTTCCAGTGGGGTGTCGCGTTGGATAAATGTACAAAACATAGCAGCAATTTCACGTTCCGAAGAACTGTTAAAAAGACAAAAACGTCATCGATTAAGGCTTGATCCGTTGTGCGAGTGTAACAATGAGAAATGCTCCCGAAAATCGGATCCAAACTGTGTACACAAATTAAATAAATTTTGTTGCCGCGAAAGCAAAGTTCCCTGTTCACTGCCTTCCCATAATTTCCCGCATATATCGGATTTCTATCTTTCTGATAATTTAGTAAACCAACTTAAAGGACCGAGCCTCTCGAGAACCGATACAGCCCATGACGATTTGGTTCGAAATGCGCTTGAACGAAATTTAATTCCCGTTGGGGATATTCCTAAAGACGGTAGCTGTCTCTTTCATTCAGTTGCACAATCGCTCTCTAATTATTTACAAATCGACCTTAATCAGCAAGATATTAGAGATATCGTGGTAAACTGGCTCTCCGAGAACCCTGAAACACCGGCAGGCGACCGCTTTTCACACTTTGTACCTAATTTAGACTGGGATACCTATTTAGAGGGCATACTGGGTACCGAATGGGGCGACCACATCTGCATCACGGCCATCGCGAACGCATTTAATATCGCAGTAGGTATTGTGTCGAGCTCCCAGTCAGACTTAAGATACATTTTGCCTTTTGATCGTCAAAATAGGGAAAATCTTTTACATATTTATTTAGGCCATGAGTTCGAGTTTCATTTTATAAGGTTAGAACCGATACCGGGCACGCAGGCGGATATTTGTATTAATGAAGTTAATTTTCATAATGTTAATACAGTGTGTATTCCAAACAGGGATCTCAACTCAAACCAAAACAACACAGATAATAACAATGTTCACAGTAATGATTTTTCTCACTATTCGTTACAGGAAGTTCAACTTGAACCTCAACTAACAGATTATTCTAGTGATTCGATTCTCCACCTACACCTATCCACCAACGACAGTTCGTTATCTCCTCCGGTCAGCCATGTAAACATAGGGCCTTCGGCTTCTTTTCCTGACAACGAATTATTTCAGACTGCAAATGACCACATCGATTCTCCTGTTCCGCCAACATTGGAAACGCCGACTTTGCAACGCTTTTCCCCAACAGCAATCTCCGACACAAACAATCTGAGCTCCACAGAGAAAGACAGGTTATTTCCCCCAAGTCTTAACTCATCATTTTATTTATCTCCACCTTCTTTATCTCCAATTACAGATAGGATAAACGATTCAAATTTAGACAAACAGCCACCAGTATTATCACCTGTCCGATTAAGGTCTAACGTGCGACCCCCTAAAAAGTTTACACCAAGTGATTATGTCAGGGCTCGTAAGCAAATTTTTCCGGAAACAGAAAATGTAAACCAAAAGCAATTCACTGATTTACCTTACTTCATTCAGCGTCATATTTTATCCTTTGTAATATACAAAAATTTTAACATGTTTTTGACTTTAATAAGGGTTTCAACACACTTCAAGCATTTGCTAGGCACCCTTCATAAATTGTGTCCTAAAGTATACTTAAATGAAAATGTCATGTTTTTATTGGAAGGTAGGTCAGTATTCGCAGAGGGCGTAAGGCACAACTGGTCTGTTCGTCAGTTGGGCCGTGTGTCGGGTTCGGGTAGTGGAGTAATGATGGAATTACGGAATATATTGCGACCGATTTCTTCCCGGTGGATTAATGGTTACATCGAGATACTGGCAACAGCAATCGCCGGATGGTATTATATTGTCGATTTTAAATTTAAAAAGTAACGGATAAAACGTGAAAAATATCCTTGTATATACGCGTTCAATATCGTGCTTATTAATTTATTAATTTTCAAACACTGTCAGTATATGGTGGTATGGCCTTTTTTCTCTGATCAGGCTTCCAGTTGGAGCCACCATTCGCGCCAAACACATCATTAGGGAAAATGTGGTACGACCTGTCTCCTTATGAGCTGGTTTCCAGTTGGAGCCACATTCGCGCAAATCTAGGATAAATGTTAAACAAAAAAATATCTATTTTTTTTTTTTATTTAAATAGAGTATAATATATTTATTTATTAAAAAAAAAAAAAAAAGACTCTTAACAGGAGATGCCTCCACGTGGCAAGAGTTGGGCAACAGTTTTACTGGCAGAACTCTCCTAGAATATACTATAAGTCTGCCGACAACCCTTATTTCAATATTTCTCTACTAACAATAGTCACGTGATTTTTATTCAATATTAACTGGTATTAACTTTTAAAAACTTGGTATATGATCGATGCACAACAATTTTAAAAAATCTAGATTGAAAAACAGGGCAGGACACTTTGAAAGCCTCCACAAAATTAAATTGTCAGAAATATTCTAGAAATGTGCGTGTAATATTATTATTTTTTATTCATTCGTTTTGATCTCGGGATCAAACACGGATAAGCAGTGCTGTTTTTGGTCTTGCATAACGAAGTAAAAATTTACATTTGTTTTCAGCGAGACACTTCTCCCCTTTCCAAACAAAATGCTATGAACATTAATTTAAAGTTGTTTAATATTGAAGCTCGTATTATTTTTAGGTACACTGAATGCTTATAATATGTTTAAATCATGAAAAAAAAATCCAGTTTCATTTCAAACTATGGACGTTTTGCAAGTACTGTAATTACTGATAATTATTGATATTGGGACACGCTATTTATCAAGACAGCGAACTATTTGTCTCTCTGAATTCCCTACAATCAAGACATTGATAACTTTGTTTGAAACCATTTATTAAATCCAATCTATTATGTATTGTTTGAAACTCAACGTGATGATAATTCGTCGTGTTTCATCAGACGATATACATTTGTAGTGGCTGTCGTTACGGTTTTTTAAAACATTTTTATTGGGCTGGGGGGGGGGGGGGGGTTAAATTATTATTCCTATTCGTATCCTCTTCGTAGAATACATATATCGCTACAATGCACCTCCAATTTGTCTGCACCTTATACATGGACATGCATGTGAGATGTATTCCCTGATCACTTAAAAAAGGTTTATTGTTATTTGGGTAGGTTTTCTCCACACTTTATTATCTTAAAGACACACTGAGGGCTGTGTCTTTCAAATCTACACGCACGGGAATTTTTGAAAGTCCTATTGTATTTAATTTTTGATAACAAACTGAATTAAATAGATTTCCAACTTTCTTTGACAACATTGTGATTAATCTATATATATAAATATAGGACTCAGTTTCTGCGTCATCGATTACGAATTCGTGTATGAAGCGGTAATGAGAGTTAATCGTCTTATTGATGTACGAACAAAATTTAAATTAGGAGTAGCAGTAATGATGATATAGTTTAACAGTTATTTTGAACTCCCAGCGTACTTCATGTTGAGGTTGTTTTAGGCATAATTAATAACCAATTAGCCATTTATGATCGACACGGTAATTGATTTCAAAGCAAAATTAGTATAACTTCAAAAAGTTCATTTTTTAAGATCATATATAATAGCAATTTTTTAAATTTGATAACTGCTTTTTAATCATAGATGACAAAAAAGGTAATCATTATTTAATTACATAATTTGCCTCGAGTTTGTTATAACTGTGAAATTTGTGATTTTATTTTATAGCCACCATGAGAGTCGCCATATTCGGTTCCTCCTACGTGAAGCGAGCTTCAAGCTTTACAGACTTTGTCATGCCATTTGAAGTCGGGTGGTTTGGAGTTGGTGGGATGACAGCTTCTCAGCCTTGTCCAAATATCATCTCCAAGATGTTGAGGTACAACCCGGACATCGTTGTAGTGTGCTTAGGGGGAAACGACATTTCCAGTGGAGCCGAGGCGTCAACAGTCATTGACTGTCTGACGAGCCTTTTCGACCAAATTAAAGTCTTGAGTCCCAGCTGCAGACAACCCGAGATTTTCTTCTCAGAGATTGTTTCTAGAGGAAAATTTCGATTTCCTTTGCAGCGTGAGGAGTTTGATGCAAGGCGTAGAACTGTTAACAATAAGATGAAGAAAATCCTTGGCCGAACCTACATCAGAATAGATGTCAAATTTCCCAGACATTACCTTCCCGATGAGATCCACTTCAACGAGGCGGGAACAGTCCTCTTCTTGCTTTCAATAAGCAAGACCATCAAGAGTCGCTCCTAGGAGTTGACAATAAACGGCCCTTTTAAGGGCCATTAAATTATTCGAAAAGATACCAATGAATACAGACGTAGAAACGTCGCACTTAACGTATTTACCCTTTTATTTTACCGAACTTCTCGGTAAATGAAAAGGAAATACGTAAACTTATATAAAAATACACATAAAGTATATAATACACAAGCATAACTTATTTTTTCATAATTCCCGGACATTTCGGCACAAGTGTTAGTTGCTCGAACTTCTGTTTAAACTCGTCATATTTCGTTATATCTACACAAAACCCTTTAGTTAGACTCAAGCGGCAAACCACAATGTTCATGTTATGAGGCAACAAACTGACATTACTTGATCTGTTATTAATAAAATATATATCATAAAAATCTACACATTAAAACAGTGCACGCAATATTGCAGGCGCGTATTTTATTTGAACAACCGATTTTTTTCATACATAAATTTTATAAGTAGCCTTTACGAGACAATTACCGGTACTTAGGTTAAAGCACAACAAATATTTTGAATCTCTTTCTCTCTCTCAGACATATCTTAAGGGGGGTTTTGAACCCCCCCCCCCCCCAAATTCCATCCAGATCCGCAAAGTTGCATTTCTCTTTATTTTGGCACACTATAAAAAAAATGCTTTATCCTTGTCTGCTGCAGCATAAATTTCGTATTTGTGAGAAATTAAAATTTTACATATAACGAAAATCCTTATATTCTCTGCGCTTCAAAATTCGTCAATCAGGATTCGGTCAGATACAACATTGACACGATTATTTATTCAATTTTAATTTTTATTATACTCCCGCTTGAAAAGTGGGAGGGTATATAGAAATCGGTATTTCCGTCCGTCTGTCCGTGTGTTACGCTTTGGGGTACCCATCTCTTATCCGCAACTCCTCTCATACCACTGAAGGAAATTTAATGAAACTTTAACAGATTTTAATTACATATTGCCATTGTGTACTTCCTATTTTACTTTTTGATCTGACGTTTATTTTTGATTTTCCAGAGCAAAACATGGACACTGCCATTATATTCATATGGGAGGCGGGGGGTATCATTTAGTGAGCTCATTGCTCACAGTACCTCTAGTTCATATTGCAATTTTGCTAAGCTTTTGAACACTAAATACATAAATATTCCCTATCAATGTAAAATACTTTAAATTTATTTTTTAAACTCCGCAGAGCACCAAGGCTACTTTAAACTTTAATATCAAATAACCCACCGCCTCCTGCCGTTCACAATATGTTTTCTTTGTTATTACGATTAAAAACTGGCAACAAAACAAAGGGTAAGGCTTAAATTTTTCTGACACCATGCCATTAAATTTCAAAACTTTTTCTAGTTCAATGAAATCATTTGTAGCAAAGAACAGACCATTGTATTAATTTTTCTTGGTGGATATTTCTGATGGCATACATTACCCAGATAGCATGCTAACATTGGGCCAACGTTGGGGCAATGTCATCGGTTACATTGGGCCAATGTTGGCAAATGACATTTGCTCATCGGCCCAATGTTGGCCCGATATGTTGGGCCAACGTTGGCCCAATGTAGAGTGTTATTTCTGCAGATATTGACCCAACGTTGCGCCAACATTGGCCCAACGAATGCGACATTGCGCCAACGTTGGCCCAACGTCGTCAAGAACATTGGGCCGATGTTGGCAAATGACGTTGGCCCAATGTCATTTTGCTCATTGGCCCAATGTTGGCCCGATATATCGGACCAACATTGGCCCAATGTGAATAAACATTTAATTGTTACAAATTTTCCAGAGCTAAAATCAGAGAAAAAACCATGCTTAATAAATACAAGTTAGCATAAATTTACCTTTTTACAATTTTATATCAGTGATTAAATTTATTGTTTCTATTCAAGAAAAGTAAATGAAAGTATAAAATAACAAATGCGTTTTGATACAGTTAAAACAATAAATAATTTGCCCAGATTTAGATTAAAATTTGAATCTAGTAGAATAAATTTCAAAAGTTTTCCACTCATTTAACTTATATACACTTTTTGTTAACAGGTTTATAACCAATCACTGTCCTCCGTTGTATTCTTGAACGCATTTTCTTCTTTGTTGTACTGCTTGTTCTTATTTTTCCTTCATCGTGTTCATGATCGTACTAAGTGAAATTCCATAGAAATGATTCGGCATACAAGGGGTTAGTCCAAACAGCCTCTTTAAATAAAAAATTAAACTGAAAAATATATAAGCATAACACAATTTACCTGTGTATTTTACCATATATAACATAGGATATTCGATTATTTGTAGATTTAACAATGTAGATATATTATTTAATTTTTTTAATTAACTATAGCATTTCCGAAAGAGCACGTATATTATTACTTTTTAAATCCTCATCAGGCTTTACTTCCAATGGAATTTTTTTTCAGCAAATACTCTCCTCTTCATTCACCAAGTTATTTCCACTAATTAAACAAAATGAGAACTTTAATCATAAGAGATTTGATTTCCCAGAAATATGTGAAACACAAAGTAACAATTCCAAAATTTGTCCTCTTAATGGTAGAAATATAAGAGAAATTTATGAAACTGCAAAAATTCAAAGATATTCAAAAATAAAATTTACAAATTATTTTGATTTAATAATAATTGACATTCAATTACATTCTATTTTTAAGTTTTATACAGAAAGGATAAACTTGGACTGATCAACATATTTAATTTAAAATAAAGCAAAGAAAAAGGTAAAGATCGCATGAAACAAACTTTGCAACATGTTATTTGAGGTAAATATAGTATATACTTACATTTCGATCCCTATTGAAATGTCTGGAAATAGCTCTAAAAATTAATCCACATGAAAGAACACACATTCAAAAGTTTTCTTTTTATTACAATTAAAAACGGATTAAAATGTTAGGCGTGCTAAAAGGATGCAGATTTGACCATTATCAGATATCACGATTACCATAGAAACTGGCCAGTCTCACGCTGTGAAAAACTGACCTAATTGTTTGTTCAGAAAATGTTCTCTTATCTTAGAATATGCTCCCTAAATGCAACATTTTTTAGAAAATTTCGTCTTAATTTTTTTTTAGAACCGATTTAAAATGTTATGTTATTCTTAAAAACATTTCCTTTATAGAACTAGTAGTATTTAAACATTTACACATATTTTAAAGTTTCACATTAAACTAAAAAATATAAACAGTTACTAGTATATAACTTGATACACCATCATGCATGTTTTTTGGGTACTAATGGTTGTTATATATGTAACACTAAATGTACATAATTTACTATTTCTTTTTCTTTTACTTTTCCATTTTGACAAACAGATTCTGGTTCCGAAAAACAATGGTAGTTCAATGAAATCATTTGTAGCAAAGTAAAATATTGTAATGTTGACATTGGCCCGACATTGGGCCAACATTGTAAACCCAACGTTGTAAACAGTCATCCTACGTTGGGTCATTGTAGTGTCCTCACCTCAGCTTCTGAGTAAAATAGTGTTATGTTGACATTGACCAACATTGGGCCAACGTTGATTGCCCATCAAACTACAACAAAATAAGAACGTGATTCACCAATGCTGGTCCAACGTTGGGCCAATGTTGTACTCCCATCAAAATCTGTCAACTAAGTGCTGACAAGCCAACAACAGTGGCCCAACGTTGGGCCAACGTTGTATCCCCAACCAACCTCGGCCTCTGAGTAAAATTGTAATGTTGACATTGGCCCGATATATCCCAACCAATTTGTTGATGGGCCAACACCCAACATTTTTAGACGTTTGGTTAAAGATACATATATTAAACACCGAAAAGAAAAAATAAAACACTATTTTCAATCTTGGACGGACATTTTGTAGGGGCGGACATAACGTTACAATTTTGGATGATCGGCGGACACTTCGTGGCGGCGGAAATAGTTTGACGATTTTTTAGGGAGAAAAGGCGGACATTTCTTGGCGGCGGACCTAATATTTCTATTTTTTTGGGAGAAAGGCGGACATTTCGTGGCGGCGGACATAGTGTGACGATTTTTCCGAAAAAGAGGCGGACATTTCGTGGCGGCGGACATAGTGTGACAATTTTTCGAAAAAGAGGCGGACATTTCGTGACGGCGGACATAACGTGACGATTTTTCTGAAAAAATGGCGGACATTTCGTGACGGCGGACATAATGTGACGGCGGACAAAACGAACCCTAAAAAATTGTGTATCTGTATCGATCATTACTGATATTACATTGTTTAAAATGTGTGTGCTGTGGTTTTCGGTATTTAGTTGCTCCAACAAGAAAATGTGCTAAGTTGTAAATGAATACTTTAATAGTTTTATAGTCTCTTTACTACACCCCCATTGATACCTCCATGAAATAGATATATAGATCAAATTCTTCTTATTTGACGTTACAATACTCTTTAATATATTTCAATTGTAATCATACTGTACATTGTAATAATCGCATTGCCTCTTGAAGTCTTTATATATAATATAATGCTAAAAAGGTAAAAAAAAAAAAAAAAAACCCGAACCAATCGGGGGATGAAAAGACAAATGAATAGCAATATATAACGTTAGACACTTATACAGATGATTACATAGAATTTAAGTATACATGAGTTATTTTGTCATTAAATTGACTAAACAAATATCCTGTGTAAGGTTACATCACATATAGTAGCAAGAGTCGACATTCCAACGTACGAGCTTTCAAAGATAATGATGTGCATGAGTTATCTCTCTTGTAAAATATTAAAAAAGAAAGTAAAGGCTAGCAGACTGGTTTAGTTTACCTGCAATTTTCAAGAATTCTTGTTTGGTTTCCTGGCCTTGTGATCCTTGGGAAATTCAATAAAGTCGCTTCGGACGCCGACGATGGCATTGGCCACGGCACGACAGCACCTGCCCACTGTGCACTCGGACACATTGAAGCTGTCTCCAATAAGTTTGTGGAATGCCCCGGTAGCAAAAAACCGTAAACAAACCAAAAGTTGCATAAGTGGAGGTAAGGCATTATTTCTCGCACTGTTTACAAGATTATTATCAATTTTCTGCAATATATGCATAATTGTAGGCCTCCTAAACCTGAAACGGTCAAACAATTCCTCATCATTGTAAATTTCAAAAGGATTTGTCCTGTCTCTAATCGTTCTCTTTAATGGCCGATTTCTAATTTGTAGAAACCTTTGATATTTCTTACGTCTGCGACGTCTTTCCGCCATTTTAATTTCTTGAGTAAGAATTTAAGGTTGCTAAAGAGTTACACTTAAATATTTGAGTATTTCCTCAAAATTCTACTGAGGAAAACTCAATTTTTGCGTGGTGACGGTAACTTGAGGGTGAGGTAAAGGATTTGAGGGAAAACCTCAGAGTTGAGGCTGAGTATTGAGTTGAGGAGTGTTGGTGACGGCGGGGCCAGAACGCAGCTATCAAAAGTACTACAGAAAGACTGCCAACATGGATGACATTTCCTGTTTAAAAAGCAAAACATGTGGAATGTCAACT